CCCCCCCCCCCCCCCCCCCCTACAAGGCTCGTGCCTTCGACAAATAATGCCCCCCTTTACAAAATTCCTAGCTACGGCTCTGAATTTGCAGCAGGCTTTAACTAAGACTAGCCTTGAGAACTTGGATATTTCTAAACCTCAGCCATACAAGTACTTTGTCGTATACTGGACCGAGGAAATCCAAGCCAAGACTGAAGAGTGAACTACGGAAACAGCAATATACAGTAACTTGACACTTTTCGGACTGCAATCAATTGACAAACGTAATAGTTATTTGGCAAATGCAAAAATTTATGTGTTACAGTAACTATACAGTTTTTGATTTTGGTTCATTTTGAATTTGAGGGAAGTCTCCGAGGATAAGTCTCCGGAGGCCTGTATTTAGAGGAGCGATGTATCGGAAGGTTTTCTGCGTTATGAGTTTGGGGGGCTTGTATATTTGGAGGGGCTATACATGGAGGGGCTTATTTTCGCAATTTTACGGTAGCTTGGGCAAGCCATGTGGAGGCTTGAATAATCAGTTTGATACAACTAGTTTACATTTTAGATGTAAACACTTTGTTAAGTTGATGAGAATGTTCTCATTTGCAGGGTTTTCTAAGAAGCGGTCATCGTGGCTGCAACTTGTGCTTAAAACAATTTTCTTCTCCGATAACTGATGACTTGCCAGTTTTCCGCCTCCTATCCAGTATTTTCGTCAGTGTCATCTGTGCCATCGCATTGTCTGCAACCACTTATCTCGGTCACATCTTCTCCTTCGCGCATAAATGATGTTGTGAAATACACTTGACCATGTAGTTTGCACAATTTCCAAACCCTGGTATTATAGCTTGGGAACTTCTTGAATTCCTTTTGATCCTCGGGTAGAAGGGGTGGAAGGTCGACTTCGTTCCTCAAAGAAGCTGCAATTTTTTCCAGCGATTCGTTTTGTAGGACTTTAATCTTGCCTTGCATAAATAATTCGAACTTTTCTTGGGCACTTTTTAAACGCGATACCCCAATGCTGGAAAAAGATCGACAGCAAGAGATCGCTTGGCATTGAGCTTCTAAAATCGACGCGAAAAGGGTAAACGTTCTTGTATGTTCATACAATTGGCTCAAAGTTCCCAAATCAAACTGAGGGGTCGTGAGGTAGTCTGAGATCTTTTCTAAAGCATATTTGATGGTTCTTGAGTGATCCTTTACCTGCAGCTGATCTTGACATTTTTCAACTGCTTGTAAAATGAGATACGCTTTCTCAATTTGATGGATGATAAAAAGGCTGTTTCTCAGAGTAAAAACAAAGGGAATGTCGTGCATTTTTACGTTATCCAACTCCTTTGAGTCTGAATGACTTGACAGTTTGCCAGCTAAAGTCAGAATTCCTTTTGGGGGGTGATGCAGTTTTTTCAGAAGCTCTCTAGTAAATCTGGTGGTTTCATTTCCAATTTCACGTATTTGATTTTTGACATTTTCCACGTTTCTCAGGGTTCTCTTCACGATATTTCCATACCGATAACTGAAGGTAATCGGAATAGAGCATCTGGGACACTGAATTTGACTGACATTATCTCCCACATCACGCAGCATCCATTCGTCCATCTCTTGAACCTTTACAATATGACCACAATCCAAAAGCTGAAGATATCTTGTAGCTTCTGTTGCTTTAAAATTTCCTTGGCCAATCATGGACGATAGCTTTTTAGCGTGGCAAATAGCGCAAAGAGTGGGACAGTTTTCTCCACACAGACCAATGCAAGGGTGGCGACAAGGGAGCTTCTTGGGGCAGGGCGCATCACATCGAGGACGGTCGCATTCCTCCCCGCAAGGATTGTTGCATTGGTAATGTGGGCAATTCCAATCACATGGTTTTATGCAAGGTCTGCATGGTTGTGAACACTGTTGGGAGTATTTTGTGTGAGGACAACGTCGACTGCATTTTCTAGCACAAGGTGGGCATGGCTTGCTGCACATCTCCTGACAACGGTGTGAACAAACGAGAACTCGGCTACATGGGCTTTGGCATATTTCATGTGATCCCCTTTGCTTGCACTCGCCACAAGTTGCAGTGCACTCGTGACCGCACGGCAGCTCAGCCTGACAAGAAACAGGGCATTGTACATCATCAATAGATAAACTACAAGGGATCTTAACCTTGTGACCACACGGCAAGGTCTTAACCAAAGGAACTTGGCAGGGATAATTGGAACATGGCTCTCCACATAATCCCTTACACTTGTGTGTGCATCCTTCTCGACGTGGACAAGGTACTTTGCAGATAGCAGTTTTGCTTTCAAAGCAACATACTCGTTGTTTATGGCCACAACCATATTCCTTCACCACCTTACGTCTACAAATGACTGCTCCACAGGCTTGACTACAAACTCCAGGGCATCGATGACCACACTCTAGTTTGCGATCACAACGCGCTCGACATTCCACGATACTTGGGTCGTCGTTACACAACATTTTCAGAGAGTGGTTTCCTGCACAAGGTAGATTCTTAACAACGAACATTTGGCACTTATAATCACTGCATCTCTCATGGCATTTTCCAGGACATTGGTGGCCACAAGGCAAACTCCGAGTGCACGGATTTGAACAAATGCGTTGGGAAACATCCTCAGAACAAAAGCAACTTACATCATGGCGGCCACAACTCAAAACCTTTTTCACCCCGACAACACATCTAAAGCTTGCACAGTCATCACCACATCTGTTTCTGCATGGGTGTTTGCATGGGAGAATGCGTTCACACGGTTCATCGCAGAATACTCTGTCTGCATTATCCGAACATTGCATCTCCTTTTCATGACCACAAGGTAGTCTTCTCTTCACCTTTGTGTTACAACTTCTACTCTGAAATTGTTCTTGCTTCCTAGAGGATGTTGTAAACTTCTTGTGTCCGCAAAAAAGTGTGATTTCCACCTTTTCTTGGAAGTAATACTGTGGAAGGGTGACTTTATGGCCGCAACGCGATTTGTTTCCTACCTTTTCCATACATAAAACATCGTTAAACCCTACTTTTGCGACATGACATTCCAACGAAGTCGTATGTCCACATGGCAAAGGTACGTCAACTTTAGTTTTACAAATGAACGTTTCAGTATTTCCTTGACAAGCTAGAACCACAACATGTTTGCATGATAATACTCTAGTTACAGGTGTCTGACATGGTCGAGTTTCGCAGTCTATGCCACAGATGTCTTTGCAGGGGTGTCCACAGGCTCTCAATCTTTCACATGGCTTATTGCATGTCAGTGTAGCTGTGTTAATAAAACAGGGCACCTTGACGTTGTGACCACATGTGGGAAACTTTGCATTCACTGGCACTGTGCACTCATAACAGGATGAACCAAAGTGACATTGCCTTTGACAGGGGTGACCTCTTGGACACTTCTTTCGACACAACTCTTTACACTGAACTTCTTGACACAAACGGCCACACGGAGAAGGACAGCTGTGACCGCAAATCAGCTGTCTTTGACAGGGTGAAGAACAAAATACTGTTTGGGGATCTTGGGAGCAACGAACAATTTGTTGGTGGCCACAAGGCAAACTCCGGGTGCACGGATCTGAACAAATACGTTGGGAAACATCCTCATAACAAAAGCAACTGACATCATGGCGGCCACAACTCAAAACCTTTTTCACCCCGACAGCACATCTAAAGCTTGCACAGTCATCACCACATCTTTTTCTGCATGGGTGTTTGCATGGGAGAATGCGTTCACACGGTTCATCGCAGAATACTCTGTCTGCATTATCCGAACATTGCATCTCCTTTTCATGACCACAAGGTAGTCTTCTCTTCACCTTTGTGTTACATCTTCTGCTCTGAAATTGTTCTTGCTTCCTAGAGGATGTTGTAAACTTCTTGTGTCCGCAAAAAAGTGTGATTTCCACCTTTTCTTGGACGCAATACTGTGGAAGGGTGACTTTATGGCCGCAACACAATTCGTCTCCTACCTTTTCCATCCACAAAACATCGTTAAACCCTACTTTTGCTACATGACATTCCAACGAAGTCGTATGTCCACATGGCAAAGGTACGTCAACTTTAGTTTTACAAATGAACGTTTCAGTATTTCTTTGACAAGCTAGCGCCACAACATGTTTGCATGATAATACTCTTGTTACAGGTGTCTGACATGGTCGAGTTTCGCAGTCTATGCCGCATGTGTCTTTGCAGTGGTGTCCACAGGCTCTCAATCTTTCACATGGCTTATTGCATGTCAGTGTAGCTGGGTTAATAAAACAGGGCACCTTAACGTTGTGACCACATGTGGGAAACTTTGCATTCACTGGCACTGTGCACTCATAACAGGATGAACCAAAGTGACATTGCCTTTGACAGGGGTGACCTCTGGGACACTTCTTTCGACACAACTCTTTACACTGAACTTCTTGACACAAACGGCCACACGGAGAAGGACAGCTGTGACCGCAAATCAGCTGTCTTTGACAGGGTGAAGAACAAAATACTGTTTGGGGATCTTGGAAGCAACGAACAATTTGTTGGTGGCCACACAGAAGGGTTTTCAAAACATCGATCTTGCACAGCTTAGTTGTACACTCCTCATGGCACATCCCTGAGCATGCGTGCCCACAGTTCAAGGCTCGTTCGCACTTTTCGTTGCACTTGATTGATTTTTTTTTCTCACGGCACAAGACTATTTTCCTGTGGTTACATGGCAACTGAATTTCTATTTTCGTGTTACATTGGCATTTCTCTTTGCATCTCCTAGAGCAGGTGTGGCCGCAGTCCAAAACGTTCGTGCAGCTGTTAGTGCAGTAGCTATAAATGTTGGGATATTCGAAACATTTCATGGGTTTGTCGTGTCCGCAAGGGAGAATTTTTAAAACCATCTTCTTGCAGATGAATCCAGACCAGACTGGGTCTATACAACACCTAAAAGGTTGTACGTGACCACAGGCAAGTGTCTTAAACACAATAAAGATGCACGCGGGACACTCTCTTGGGTAATGACACCTATACGGACATTGGTGACCACTGGGACACGACTTGAAGCACGGTTTTGAACAACGGCCCTCTGAGTGAAAAACGTCCGAGGCATGACACAGCTCATTGCACGCATGGCCACATTCTAGGCGGTCTCCACATGGCATTGTACATCCTCCAAGTTCGCACTGCTTTAGCTCGCGTGCCCACCTTACATTCGTTACGTTGTTGTGTCTCCTGCAAACCAGCTGTAGATTGTCACCGATGGCTACTTTTGTCTTTAAGTCATCACAGATCTCCTTCCAAAGCTTGCACTGGCTTTTCAGTAGACTGAAGTTTCCAATGCAGTAAAATCCTTTGCGGGCACGTGACAGGGCGACGCAGATTCTGTTGGACTCGCCTAAAAAGCCAATGCAACCTTCCGAGTTGCTTCTTACTAACGACAAAAGAATAATATCGTTTTCTTCACCTTGAAAGTTGTCAACTGCACAAACTTTGACTCCTTCAAAAGCTCGTCGAGGCATTTTCTCTTGAAGAAGCAGCAACTGACCTGTATACATGGTTAGAATTGTGATCTGCTTTCGTTCGTATCCTTGAAGTAGGAGGTACTTGCAAAGGGCTACTAAGAATTCAGCCTCGTGATGGTTAGAGTAACTTTGTAAACCTCTTATTAGTTTTTCGGGTTGGCAGTGATCAATGAAGAAAAGATTGTGGCGAAGGCCAGATATTGGCGGGAAAGTGCAAACTGAATCGTGATCTACAATTTCATGATCATAGATTCTTTTTGTAAGTGTGGCAATCTCAGGACGCATGCGATGCTGTATAGATAAGCGTTTACAGTCCATGCTGTTTAACACCATTCGCTCAAAGAGTGAGACCTCCAGGTTGTACTTCCGCGCCAGTTCGTAAACAGCCGCTTTGGGGCGGAGTTGGTTGTGATCTCCGATGAGAATTGTGTGTTTGGTATTGTGCGAAAGAGAAGTGATAATATGGGCTTCCATCACCTCGGCAGCTTCTTCGATAACGACGATTTTAGGAGCTATCCTTTGGAGAACTGAGTGATATCTAGCCGCCCCTGTGGTTGTCATTCCAACAACGGTCGCCTGACGCATGACTTGTTCCTCTTCCTCAAACTGGACTTCCTGTAATTCTTCGCGAAGCTGTTCATATGCCTGTTCAGCTTGATAAATTTCTATTCTGTAGTGTTCACGGTAGTTTTCGATCCAAAAGAGGTATAATCGAAGTCGATCCGATTGTGATAGATTCCAGATGTTTTGTATGCCCATCACTTCCTCGGTGGACATCATTTCTCTGTTGCTTAGATCACCTTGTATAGAGCAAATATCCTCAGTGAGAGGGACTTTTGTTTTCTTCCTTTTTTTCTTTGTTTTCCTCCTTTTCTTTGAAGACGCTGTTCCACCCGTTTCCTCATCGTTTGATTTGCCGTCCTCTTTAGAATTTTCGTCGACGTTTGGCATCCAGAGATGTGACTTGCCTTTTTTCTTATGCGTTTCAAGTGTCCAGTATTCATCGTCATTTTCTTCATTTGTCCCCTTTTTATTTTGTTCTTCACGTATTAAGTCACCTTTTATTAAGCTAGAAGTCACTTCCTCGGTGGACATCACTTCTCTGTTGCTTAGGTCATCTTGTTTAGAGTAAATATCCTCAGTGAGAGGGACGTTGGTTTTCTTCCTTTTCTTCTTTCGTTTCTTCTTTTTCTTTGAAGAAAATGTGTCAGCCGCTTCCTCATCTTTTAATTTAGCGTCTTCTTTACAATTTTCGTCGACGTTTGGCATCCAGAGATGCGACTTGCCTTTTTTCTTATGCGTTTCAAGTGTCCAGTATTGCTCTTCATTTTCTTCATTCGTCCCTCTTTTATTTTGTTCTTCACGTATTAAGTCATCTGTTTCTTTTGATATAGGAAGGAAGAGGTCTTCGTCGCCTTGTATCCATCTTTGTTGTTGTATCAAATCCGCTTCCCTTTCTATTGCGATAGTCTCTTCCACCGCCTCCCGTTTTTCATCAACATGTCCATCACTGAATCTGCCCACTGCTTCCCGGTGTTCAGTTCTTTGAATGAGATCAGCCCCTTCTATTAACGCCGAATGTTCGAAATTACTGTGCTTTACTTGAAAAACGTCTTGTAAGACATTGAATTCCATCTGTTGCCTCAGGAAGGTATTTTGCTGTTCATCCGACAAATCACATGGTAACCCACGCTCGTACGAATTTTTGTTTAATGTTCTCTGTTCTGAGATGCCCATCTTCGGTGGAAGATCAGGTTTAGCTTCGTCATTTGATACATTAACGTCATTAACTGCTGCTAAAGGTTCTTCAACGGATCTTTCGCGGTCATCTTGTGGTTCTGTGAACAATGTTTCGTAATAAAAAGATTCATTTTCTTCATTTTCAGCATGTTTTGCAAGGGGTGCCGTTTGATTACAACCCATCTCTTTGTTGTTGCATAGCCACAATTTGAAGGTGTTGCTGGGAGTTCGACTCTCGTTTGCCACCTTGGATGGAAATTTAGCATTACACAGCTGCTGTAAATGTGCTGGATTTATTAGTTGTTCCAAGTCTTCAAACTCTAAAAGTTGAACGTCTGCCTTTTCAAGCAGTTGCTTCGATATTTTCATTTCTATGTCGTTTTGTCGCAACCTCTTGTTCACTTCTTCACGTTTGGCGTCCAGTGTGTATCTGCGAGTAAATTTTTTCAGATTGCAGTTCTCAAGTTTATCACTTTTGCACCTTCCTCCAACGCGAATTATGTTTCGGCTAGGTAAAAATTCTAGCACCTTTTCCAAGAATTGATCAAGAGCGTGGTTTGTGTAACAAACCATCAGCATCGGTGTGTCCCGTAGAGGATCCCAAACACTTCGGTTCTCGAGCAAGCAACGTACGATTTTGGCACCAACGTAAGTTTTTCCTGTCCCCGGTGGACCCTGGATGACAGAAAATTCGGTTGTAATCGCTGTCTTTAACGCTTCGAGTTGGGAGCTATTGAGAGGAAGTGAGGCAACAGAGGGCCAAACTTCAAGATTTAGAACAGGTACAGGTGCGGTGGTGTTCGATTTATTTAGCACACCAAGAGCCTTGCCGAGGTCATAATATACCGGCTCCTCACTCTCATTACGCCTTAGATATTCTGGTGGGTCAACTTCTGCACTGCACTCGACCAGATACTTTTTAAATGGTAAGGTTGTTTCGTCTAATACCTGTAATCCTTTAAGAACGTACCGATAGGCTTCGAAATAGGCGGGGGACTCAACTATTTGGTAAACGCAGTTGCGGCTCTCGATCCCGTAAACGTCTTGATTTTCGATAAATCGGATGTCGATTCGTCCTTCCTTCACTTTCTCTGCATCGCAACCAGAAACTGTTGCGAAAAGCATAGTTTTAAAGTTGTCGTTTGAAAGACAAAGAAATGAACCAAATAAAAATCTTTTGGAATGTGCCCATGTGCTGGTATCTGAACCGGAAATATCGATGTGCACTTTATGAATGATTCCAGACCGCGTGAACTCCTTCCCGACAATTTTAACGCTTCGGTAGTATTTTATCAATTGTTTGCGCTCATGTCTAGGCATTCTGAGGACGATTTCGCGAATACCTTCCCTTAGTGGCTCAAGAAAGTCTTCTCGAAGAAGCCGAAACTGAACATCAAGGTAGTGCTCGGCGTTTTCGTACCTTCCCCTTGAAATGTTCTTACGTAAGAAAGGTCTTTCTTGAGTTGTGATTTCTTTGGTCTCGGGACAAATTGGTATGTCTCTAAAATCGTTTGGTGGCTTTTCCCCCGCCCTGTTAACAAAGCGTTTCCCATGCCTCTGTCTTTCTCCTCTGATGACGTCATTTCTTGCTTGCTTAAATTCATCTAACCTCGTCTGCAGCTCTTCTTTGTTTTGAACACTTGACTGATCTAAGGCTGCTTTCAACTGAGTGTAAGGTAGGTCAGCATATGAACTAGGCAAATGTGTCAGGTACTTCATGAAGATTTCAATGAGATGCTCAATGAACCTTTGTTGAGATAATTGGTCATTTAAGGCCTTTGACTCTTGAAGGCGATCAAGTAAACTGGGAATTTTTGAGTTAAAGAAAGCGGAGCCTTTAAGTGTGGCCAGAATCTTGTTAAGATTTTCGCCTGGTGGAACGCTGCAGGCCTTTCCCAACGTAGAAGTAAGATCACAGATGAATTCGTCGTTGTTGCGGTTCTGATCTTTTGTTCGAAGAAGGAACTTTAAATGAAGTATGCCCTCGTTTAGCATGTGTACTATCTCTGTACTATCCTTTGATTTTAAAGCCTTGGGGTCGAAGAAGGCGTTTTTCTCTGGCAACACTTCATGTGTGGACGGCCGTCTACTCTGTTGTGCCGATGAACCCGTATTTTTGTTCACGGGACCTGGTCTTCCAGGTCTTTGAGCTTGGTTTGTTTTATCTGTATTAAAAAAACGCAATTATTTCCTAAGTGACTCACAAGCAATGTGATGATCTGGGATGATCTACTTTCATATAATTCTTCACCCCGCAGTTCACATTTATGATTTTCATATATTCCTAACTTTATCACAAGCAAAGTGTACTCAACATTCTTCCACGGAATCAAAGAGACTTGTACAGACCAGTTTGCTAGGTCTTGGCTTGTCAGACTGGATGGAGGTATTAACTAAGTGCATTAAAGGATTGCGCATCAGACATATATGTTTATACATATACAAACTGTTTTCGGGTCGAAGGTTACTGCTGATTGCTTTTGACTTACGGAGATTCAATGAACTTCCTGAACATTTCAAGCTAATCCTATGAATTCACTATTTTGTACTTGGCATACTTAATCCTCAAAAAGTGGGTGTATAGAATTAGTGAATTTCAGGAGTCAGAAACAATCACAAGTCGTATGAGGAGATTGTTCCAAGCAGNCTGATCTTTTGTTCGAAGAAGGAACTTTAAATGAAGTATGCCCTCGTTTAGCATGTGTACTATCTCTGTACTATCCTTTGATTTTAAAGCCTTGGGGTCGAAGAAGGCGTTTTTCTCTGGCAACACTTCATGTGTGGACGGCCGTCTACTCTGTTGTGCCGATGAACCCGTATTTTTGTTCACGGGACCTGGTCTTCCAGGTCTTTGAGCTTGGTTTGTTTTATCTGTATTAAAAAAACGTAATTATTTCCTAAGTGACTCACAAGCAATGTGATGATCTGGGATGATCTACTTTCATATAATTCTTCACCCCGCAGTTCACATTTATGATTTTCATATATTCCTAACTTTATCACAAGCAAAGTGTACTCAACATTCTTCCACGGAATCAAAGAGACTTGTACAGACCAGTTTGCTAGGTCTTGGCTTGTCAGACTGGATGGAGGTATTAACTAAGTGCATTAAAGGATTGCGCATCAGACATATATGTATATACATATACAAACTGTCTTCGGGTCGAAGGTTACTGCTAATTGCTTTTGACTTACGGAGATTCAATGAACGTCCTGAACATTGCAAGCTAATCCTATGAATTCACTATTTTGTACTTGGCATACTTAATCCTCAAAAAGTGGGTGTATAGAATTAGTGAATTTCAGGAGTCAGAAACAATCACAAGTCGTATGAGGAGATTGTTCCAAGCAGGAACCTGTAGTTTATATTTTTCCCTCACCTGAATGCTTTCCTCTTCCTTTTGAAGGCGTCACCTGTTCCTTTCCACGGCTCAACGGTGCTCCTCGCCCGCGTCCTTTGTTTCCTTGCTTGTTGAGATGGTCAACTTCGAATGAAAGAAAGAGGGACTCAATACACTTTAAAACGAAAAAAACATGGCGAATACCACGGGACGGGATTTGAGAACTAAATTTTAGTGCTTGAGTTGGAAATACCCGTTATGTTCTGCTCTTCTGAAGGACACTCTGCATATCGGTAACCCAGAGAAACACGAGCTTCTACATAGGTACTCGCACATAATTCCTATGGAACTCTATAAACGTCTTTCACTGGTATATGAAGACCAATGGTTGGCAAATGTCACCAACTCAAGAATTTCTATTCAAAAGTTACAGCGCCGTTATTCACTGTCTTTGACAAAAAAGTGGCTTAGGTTTTCTCGGTATGTTATTCACTCCGAGGTAAAGCCTCAAGCATTTAAGTCTAGAGACTGAGCAGCTCTAAGATGCGATAACCGCTGTTATTCATGATTCATTCAAAATATTTCTCTGTTTCTGATTGGCTTAAATTATACGCATGTTCATCATAACCAGGTACCGTTGACCAAATTTGAAAGAATTTTGCGATATTGAACCGATGACGTCAATGGTGCAGCAAAATTGCCAAATTATTGAACCGTTAACCGAGAAAATCTGGGGACGAGGTTCAGTTATTTTGGTAGTGATACAAAATGGCGGAATATTTTACTCGTTTCACAAGGGAGAAATAGGCGAACGTTTGGCTAAGAACACAGCATAAACAGCTAGAAGACAATCTCTGCTATTTGTAGAATATTTGCAGCACTGAACAACCCTTTATATCTAGTCCCTAGTCTCCTAAACTTGCCGATAAACATGTACTATCGAAGATGAACTTAACATCGATAGAGGTTTACAAGCATGTTTTAGCCTGTTTTTAAACTAGGAATTATTTGGAATGAATAATAAAACCGCTGAGGCGGAAACGCCCACCTCGATCTCCATAATTCTTCAGATGATACGAAAGCCGAGTTCAGTAATTGTTACTTTTACAGAACCTCTAAACAAATAGCAGATTTTAGTTACACCCAAAATCCAGCAAGACGGGTTATGGATATTCAGTCTCTTGAATCCAAACAATCCACACTGTTTTAAAGTTTGGCCCTGATGCCGGTCTCTTCCTTTTGAACTCATGTTTTGTTTAAGGTGCGTTACATCAGTTACCTCGGTTTGCATTTGCAGAAGTCCCGCCGGCGCCTTGAATTGTTGCTGGGTTTTCGTTTCCTTCTTGGGCTTGTTCCCGTGGTTCGTCGGTTTCTAAAATGCATTATAAACATATATCGCGAAACATGATTTCAGAATGAACAACCCCATTAGATAATTTGGTACATAAAGGACAACAGTGGATTACAGTTGTACAACTGTTTTATGCTCTCAAAAAGGCCTAACACCGGGACTAGCTCCCTAGTCTGTAAAAAAGAAAGTCCTGGCGGTCGATGCGGGCCATGTACGACTTTTGAACTGGCCTTTGTCGTCAGTGCTATCCATGATCTCTGCCCAGTGATTGCAATTGGTTTCCCCGATACTTATCCACTGTACAGTGATTTCTCCCCTTGCTGTCAGTATGTGCGCTGGCCTCTCAGAGCCCCTATCCCACTATGGTCTATTGTGTAACTAATTATAGATCCCATCTTAATCAAAAGTAATTTTCGCGATCCCAATTTGTCACTTTCTATTCATGTATCTACTTCATCAATCCTTAAAATAGGTCATCCTAAAATGAATTGACACATTTTTTAAATTGAATGAAGAACACTTTACTTTTCACATACAGTGCGACACAGTAACGTTGCAGCGTAGAACGGTCCTGCAAGTTTGCAGGAGCGTAGCGTCCATATACGCACATACGCCTGTTTAAAAATCCTTTTTTTATCATTAAATCGGGATTACTGATACATTTTTCGCACTATATTGGCGTCTTTGTGTTAGTACCGTATTTCTTCGAATAATAGCCGGCGATTATTTCAAATATTGCTCAATAAAAGCCGTGCCCTAAATGTTTTGTTTTATTATCCCATTAAATAAAAAAAATTATCACATCGAATAAACTCAACATGAGCTTTCAAGTGTTCCAAATTTGGTTCTTTGATAAATTTACAGAGCTTGAATCATCACTGATCAGTTTTGCTGGATCAGATTGCCCTTCAACTTGACAGGGAGGGGGTTTTAAAAGAAAGAGAAGATGGCGAGAGGGGTGGGGGAGCGATTATTCGAGGGAGGCGATTAATGGAGGGACGGCTATTATTCGAGGAAATACGGTATCTCTTTTACTGTTTATTATTCCATAATTTTGATGGGGTCACTGGCCTTTTTTTTTTCCTTAAACACTGTACCTTACCAAGAACACGAGAGATGGGTAAAACAAACAACTAACTACTGCATTTTCCTGCTTATTAATTTACTGAAAATGTCTCGAGGAAAACGCTGGAAGGGTATTTCTGAGACCATAAATTGAAACATTTTCGGGGGGAGCATGCCTTAAGTCACCCCTAGATTAGGCCGCCTTCGTCGCCACAACTTTTCTTCTCCTCCGCCTGCGTACAACTTCCAAATCTCACGCTGTCCCCGCTGGTTTGTATAAGCACTATATATGACAGCTGATATGATAACCTATCACCTACCATTAGAATCCCTATTGCGTTTATTGAAAGACTTTTTCCCTTTGCCTTTGTTGGAAGCCATTGTGCTGTATCGACAAACGTTTATCCGTAAAGTAAGAAATTAGCTGAAAACACTTGTACACTCAGTGGGTTGATCCTCTCCTCTGCTTTTGGGGAATAGCATGTGCGGCTGAAATGGCAGACGGTAGTACAAAACGAATCATCAGAGTTCTAAATTACTCGTCCATCCGAGAGGAAATTTGGAGCCCTTTGCATGAAATCGCTAACTTAGTGGACAAATTGGAGTTTCTTACTACATTTGTAAACCCTAGACTGCTACACAACCGTTTTGAGTGTCGTCACGCAACGCTCCTCTCTCCCCACCCAAGAGCCTTTCTGCTTCTGCCAGGAGATTTTCTTTTCTCGTTTACTTGCATGCTTATAGCAGTATAGCGTACCGCTTAGCCTCGAAAAAAATTATGAATGTTACATCAGCGATAATATTAACTATACAAATGAGTGGAAAAGCAAAAATCAAAACTTTGAGTGGGAAGGTCAACCAATTGCAAATTAAACCGATCAGACTGCTTAAAATACCAGAATCACCAATTGTGTATGTATTAAATAATATGGGAGGCTATATCATTCAAAAGTGGCACGAATGCTCGATTGATGATCGAGATCACGATCGCTATGATTGAGTTGTTCGCCAAAATCGATAATTTCAATCGTTGCATTTGACATTCTGGATTCCCAATCGACACCTCTTCTTTTAGGTCCTTTAGATCTTCAGAGCTCATTACCGATCTTTCTTTCGACCACAGCGATTGTGTTTCTAGTATACAAACTCTGTTTAGATAATAGCGATCGTGGTTCTCATTAATCAGTCGATAATCTCAACCATAAATATCTTCATTGTCAACGACCGATCGAACAACTCAATCCGATAGCGATCGTGATTTTGATCATCACTAGAGCATTCTACCACTTTTGAATGATATGGCCACCCATAAAATAAGACCCAGTAAACTGTAGGCTAAAAACAAAACAAAAGTAAATGCCATTTAAAATACAACATGACAGATAAGTACATCAAGTTTG